CTCTCGACTTGTGTGGTTGCGTGATTCTTGCTTATTTTAATTATCTGTATTCTGTTCTATGTTCCCCTTTTTGAGTTGTTTGCCGCCCTGAGTCCTTCCCGGAGAAGGGCGGCATACAAATAATAAAATTCAATTAAATTAGTTATGTCCTTTAATTGAGGTCTAAATAAATTCCCCTCCCCCTTTATACAGCTGATGACATTCGTCGCTGAGGAACGCAAGCGCTGTACAGTTTATCCCCCCCAGCATCAGGTCTTCACTTGGACCCAGCTGTGTGACATCCGCGATGTGAGTCAACCTGTTATAATAAGTCTGCGTTTATCATCTCGTTCCTTTAGGAATGGGTGGTGTTATCTTTTGAGTGTTTAGCTATTGGCTGAGTTCACACGACACAGGCAGTCCCTGGGTGGGTTTTTTAGTCATCCCTATTTAAGCAATTCCTGACTGAATGCAGTGCTTGAATCCAGGCACTTTGCCTGTCACCCTGACCAGTCCTTGAGTTCTGTATGTAATGGCACTTGCTGCTTTTTATAATACCACTAAGAAAGCAAAGAATTTTCTGACTCTTCAAGTAGAAGCATAAATCTAGACAAAAAAATGGTTTGAGAGCGGGAATAACAGATGTGGAGTGTTTAAATGTTTTCTGCTCTTGCTTTCAGGTGAAAGTTGTCATTCTGGGCCAAGATCCCTATCACGGGCCCAATCAGGCTCATGGGCTCTGCTTCAGCGTCCAGAGACCGGTTCCCCCTCCACCCAGGTAAGGTTCAGCTCTGGCCAAGTGGTTCTGTTAGGATCAGGGGTGCCGTGCTGTTTTATAGCATTCTTTGGAACAGCTGACTGCTGCGGGTATATTGTGTGAAAACATGCTTGTTTTTCTTTATAGCCTGGAGAACATTTACAAAGAGCTTGCTGCGGATATAGAAGGCTTTTCTCATCCTGGCCATGGAGATTTGACTGGATGGGCTAAACAAGGTGACCCAGTGCCATTCTTTTCCCAATTGCTTCCATGCGTTCGGTTGTGCTGCATTCGTGCTTCAGTTGCTAGAGTTACCCAGCCTTTCTGACCCATCCGAAAACTGAAGGTCACACCTTTGGCGACTGGTTGATGTGTCTCCTCTAAATATGTACTTTAATTATTGTTTTTATCCTCTCACAATCACGTTTCTCATCAAGCAAAATAACTGCAATCTTTCAAACCAGGCTTGTAACAAAACCTATCATAGTGAGCAAAATAAATGTAATTATTGTATTAATAGCAATCGCAATAGCAGTTAGACTTATATACCGCTTCATA